TGGCCTCCGAAACCTGACTGAGCCTGTAGATCTTCTAATTCCTCTGAATAACATGCACACCAGTTCTTTGTGTAGGGACTACATATGCATCGTGGAAAAGGGCTCTTGGGTGACCTCCCTCTCTGGCACTCAAGTGCTCAAAGCCATCTCCTCTCCACCCCTCTCACCTGCCGCCTGCCTCTGGTGACCCTTCGGTAGCCTATTCTAATTTCCCTGCGTTTTGGCTAATGACATTTCACCTTCTGCATGTGTATGTGATCATTTCAGCATCGGTCCCCTTGTCCCAGCTGTTATAATTTGTGGGGCTGGCCTTCCTCCTCCAATGTTCCCTGTCTCTGAAAAGTGAACAGCCTTTCATTGTACGTGATCATCCTCGGGGTCCCCTTCTCTCCAGAGTGACTCCCTGACCCACAAGGTTGACCAGAGTAGGCTTGATCTGCTCCCCTGTTTGGGCAAGGTTCCAGATCATCTGTTTTACTTGGGGACTCCTGTTGCCTGTTGGGCTCAGCCCAGTGTCCTCTCCTGGCACCTCACTGTGACGTGCTTATGCACGTCAATTTGCTTTATGGAGCCTTGTAGTCAGTATACTTTTTTGAAAGGCCTGACTCCTGTACTATCTGTCAGGTATGGCAAGTTGGGCTCCAGTGTTGGTTACCACCTGTCTCCAGTGGGTAGTGGTTCACCTAAAGTCATCCTTGAAAAAAGCCCTACACTTGGAGTACAAGTCTTCTGTTTCCTTAATGTCATGGAAGATGTCCATCTTTTCTCTCATTAAGAGAATGTGCAGTTTAGAGGGAACACCCCTTCAGGATGGCCTTTCCTACAATTCCTGCCCAGCTTCCTTCAGCCCCCAAGCCTCTTTGGGTGACTAGGGCAGCCTTTTCTGCTGTCCCAGAGGAGTTCCAATTTCTGGAGTAACCCATTCCTGTCATTGGATCCCTTCATATTTGGGGACCCTACCTTGACAGTTTCCTGCTTTGGATTCTGTTGAACACCATGCAGGTGTTGCAATGCCTTTGTCTCCAGGTGGGAGTCCTCCCTGTGACAGAAGTTGCCAGACTCCTGTTCTGTGTGATGTAGAGAATTGTGGCCCCCCTTGGATGATTCTTCAAAAGGCTGCAGACTTGGAAGCTCGCTGTCCTCGGTAGCATCTGCACTGAAAAGAGCAACTTGTGAGCCTGCTTGCACCTCAAATTCTTGACCATGGAGATCTGTAAGCCCAGTGTGTCTTTTGGGTTGGTAGCAGGCAAAACACCCTAGCCCTCTATTTTTGCAGGTACTATACACAGCTGTCTTTGTCTAGAGGACCTACTGATACCTCTTCTCTGTGGGATTGATCCTCCACCTTTTGGCTGTTTTAGCATCCCTTGGTGAAATTCCACAACGTGTCACCCTGATACTGTTCCTTTTCAGGCTGATTTCTGAACTGACACATGGTAGTAGCTCTTTATAGTTTAGGTTAGGGGTTTCAAGCCTTATGCACAAGGTTTCAGAATGTAATATGACATGGTAGTCACTTGAGAGGATTAATTTAACCACATGAATTTATAGCCAAATCCATGTTTTGGCAAATTACTGCAATGAATTGTAAGTCACAAAGCCTAAACATAGTCACGGCCAAAAATGTTGGCACCCCTGCATTTTTATCTGATAATGCACCACTTCACCCAGATAATTGTTGCAGTTACAGATGTTTAGGCATTCTCACGTTTATTTCTTTTCTTGTATTGTTATGACACAAAATAGAGAACCAAAAAGCCAAATCTGACACATTCCACACACAACCCCAAAAATGGACTGCACAAAATTGACACCCTCAAGTTAATATTTGGTAGCACACCCTTTGGAAAATATAACTGAAATCAGTCGCTTCCTGTAATGATCGGTGAGTTTCTCACACCTCTCTACTAGAATTTTGGACCACTTTTTCACCAACTGCTCCAGGTATCTCAGGTTGGAAGGGTTCCTTTTCCAAATTGCTGTTTTGAGATCTCTCCACAGGTTGAGATCTGGACTCATTGCTGGCCAGTTCAGTACTCTCCAGCACTTTGTAACAATTTCTGGGTGCTTTTTGACATGTGCTTTGGGTCATTGTCCTGCTTTAAGACCCATGACCTCTGACTGAGACCCAGCTTTCTGACACTGGGCCTACATTGCACCCCAGAATTCTTTGGTAGTCCTCAGATTTCATAACGCCATGCATATGGTTAAGATGTGCAGTGCCTAAAGCAGCAAATCCTCCCCAAAATATCAGTGAACTTCCACCGTGTTTGACTGTAGGGACTGTATTCTTTTCTTTAAAGGTATCATTGCTTTTTTTGAAACCAGTAGAATGATGGGCTTTACCAAAAAGCTGTAATTTTTGCTTCATCTGTCCACTTCATTCTCCCAAAAGGACTTTGGCTTCCTCAGGTACGTTTTGGCAAACTCCAATCTGGCTTTTTTATGCTTCTGTGTCAGCAGTGGGGTCCTCCTGGGTCTCCTACCATAGCGTTCCTTTCATTCAAATGGTGACATATAATGTGAACTGACACAGTTGTACCCTGTGCCTGAAGGTCAGCTTGAATTTGTCCAGAAGTTGATCTAGGTTCTTTAGCCACCATTCAAACAATTCTTTGTTGCAGTCTTTGATCAGTTTTTCTTTTGTCCACGTCCAGGGAGATTAGCTACAGTGTCATGGGCTGTAAACTTGACAGTGCTGCGCGCAGTGGACACAGGAACATGAAGATCTCTGGAGATGGACTTGTAACCTTGAGATTGTCAATGCTCTTCCACAATTTCTGTTCTCAAATCCTCAGACAATTCTTTGCTGCTCTCTCTTCTCTAGACTCTATGTGGCACACAGAGACAAACCAGAAAGATTGAGTAAATTTTTCCCCATTTTAACTAGTTGCTGGTGTGACTTCAGCACCTGTTGGTACAGGTGAGTTTAGTTACAAATTACAGGAGCGTCACAAACTTGGAATGCAATTGCTTACATTTTTACATGGTGCAAATAATTTTGTCCCGTCCATTTTTTGGGTTTTTTGCGTGGAATGTGTCAGATTTGGCTTTTTGTTTCTCCACTCTTTTGTCATTCCAATACAAACAAAAGAAATAAACATGAAAATGCCTAAACATTTGTTGCAACAATATTCTAGGTGAAATGGCGCATTATCTGACAAATGCATGGCCATATTGGGTTATTATAGTTAATTACTGGGTTTGTTTGCAATAAGAACCACCTCTGTGCTTTTTTTTTTTTTTTTTTTGTTATACAATTGATATTGACTTTGGTATCTGTAATTCCTATTGTAGATTGTAAATATTGGGTAAAATCAACTCTACACGGTCAGACTACAGTGTTTATAGGACACTGGCAGATGTTTTGTGGCTGAAAAACTATAATTGTAATTTTGTGGTTAGGCAAGTTATTGTATCTAAATAGGTAGTACAAAGGACTACCAAGACAGCAACCAGTCAGGATTGAACATTAACCACCTGCCGACTGCTCACAGTAAACATACTGTGAACAGACAGGCAGGTGCAAGTACTATCACATACATGTACGTGATTGGCCGCCTGCTGGGTTTGGGGGGCACGCATGTGTGCCTGCTGCTGACCCATATTGTGACTGGACACCGCATGAGTTTAGCATCTGATTTCAGCCAATCGGCTCTGTCCAATCAGTTTTTTTTGTGTTTACAAAAACACAGAACTCTGTACAGGCAACAGTGATCTGGCAGTAAAACTGACAGATGGTAAAGTAATAGCAGCACACGTTGCACAGTGTTAGGCGCATGTTTAACGCTTTGCCCCTAAATGTTCACCCCTTCCAAGCCACTGATTTAGTACAGTGAAATTGTACAGTATCGGCACTGATCACTTTATTGGTGTCACTGTTGATGTCAGTGTACCTCCCAGCCAGTGTCCGCACCAGATTGGCTGCAACCTAAGTCGTTGATCACTGCCATTACTAGAATAGCATCATAGCTGCATAGGTTCCAGAATATATACCATAGTTTTAGAAGCTATAACTTATATATATTATAGCGTCTATAAACTATGGTATATATTCTGGAACTTATGCAGCTACAATGCTACTCTAGTAATGTCAACAGTGACACCAATATAGTGATCAGTGCCAGTAGTTCTGGTAGAATACATTGTGGCCTAAATTTTATGAAGCAATTTGATTTTTTTTTTTTTTTTCTTTTGATGTTTTATTAGATTAGAAATATTTTTTCCATAATTTGTTTTGGTCTATTTTCATATATATGTATATATAATAACCCAGTGGTGATCAGCTCTATTTGTGTGAAAATAAATAAATTTAATTTGAGTATATTGTTGCATGACCGCACAATTGCCAGTTAAAATAGCGCAGTGCTAAATGGCAAAAAAAAAAATGCTCTGGACATGAAGGTGGTAAAACCTTCCGGAAGTCATGTGGTTAAATGTGGTCTGTTTTTGTAAAGTTTTTTTTTTTTTTTTTTTTTTTTAAAGCTGACTTAGTTTTGCATCACTTTTTTCGGTTTGCTCTCAAGTGTTTCAAGAATATTAGGCAGGCAATAGGACTGAAAATTAGACACTTGGAAGTTAAATTCCTCTCAAAGCTTTTGTGAGTGCTCCAGGAACCCTAAACTTGTGGCATTTTCTATGCCTCCCTATTGGCCTTGATGGTGGAGTACAGAAAGGGAGTTAACAAAATTTGTCTAACTTTGTGGCTCCTTTTTGAAGAAGCATAAGGCATGTACAGAATCCTCTTTGTAGCTAAATTTTGATTTTAGTTCTTTAAAGCTATAAATGTTTATATTAAAAGTCCTGAGAATTGTATGAAAATTGAAAAAAAAAAAAAAATTACACCATTGTATATCAGGCTAAAGTGTGTCAAGTATATATAGTTCTCAGCGTGTTAATTTTTGTTCTTGTCCCCCCCCCCCCCCCCCCCCCTTAAAAGCTTCATAATCCTTAACTTGGTTTGTTTTTGTTATTTTTTGGCAGGGGATACTACACAGAAGATGAGATCTGCTCAGCATCCTACTCCAGCAGAATTGGATGCTTATGCTAAGACAGTTGCCAATAATCCCCTTACAATAAAAATTTTCCCAAACAGCGTCAAGGTTCCACAGAGAAAACATATACGTCGCACCGTGAACGGACTGGATACATCAGGGCAGCGTTATAGTCCGTATCCATCACAGGTCAGCACAAAGACTGGACTTCTTGCAATTGTCAAGTCCCCTGCTAAAAGTGTTTTGAAGGGCTTTGACGGCAACCGTGCCCGCCTCTTGCCAGACTCCATGATGAATCCTCCCTCTGCTCCATATGTTGCACCTAGCACTTTAAATCACCCTCAGGGGCTTACCCGCCCCCAGCAAGCCCTACAGCATGCTCAGACTCTGCAACATGCCCAGAGTATGCAACAACAGACTTTGTCACACTCTCAGAGCATGCCTCCTGGACTGCAGCACCCACATAGTCTGCCACACCCTCAGACGTTGCAGCACCCCCAAGGCATGCCACAGGGGTTGCAGCATTCTCAGGGTTTGCAAAATACGCAGAGCATCCCACAGCCGCAGACCCTTCAGCATCCACAAAGTGTGCAGCATGCACAGAGCATACCACAGCCACAGGCACTGCATCATGCGCAGGGAATTCCACAGACAATGCCACGTCAGCAGAGCATGCCACAGACTCTGCAGCACCAACAAAACCTCCCTCAGGTCCTGCAGCACTCTCAGAATATGTCTCAAGCGCTGCAGCATTCACAGGGAATGCAGCATCCACAGAACATAGGGTCACAACATGCCCAAAGCATGCCCCAGCAGTCAACTTTACAGCATGCCCCTGGTGTTGCACACCAGACTCTGCCACACCCTGCTAACAACATTCTGCAGCCTGGTTTACATGGAACTCGAAAGATGCCTGATGCAGATGCCCCTCCGAATGTGACAGTGTCTACCTCAACCATCCCCCTTTCTATGGCTGCAACCCTGCAGCAAAATAGACCACCAGACCTTGGAAGCATTGTACACCAGATCAACCAGTTCTGTCAGGCTAGGGCTGGCATAGGCACTACCTCGGTTTGTGAGGGACAGATTGCCAACCCCAGCCCTATTAGTCGTAACCTGCTTATCAATGCAAGCACCAGGGTCTCTACTCACAGCATCCCTATGCCTTCCTGTGTTGGATCAGCTGTAGACCATGCTGCTGCTGCTGCTATTTCCTCTGCTGCCTCTGGGAATGTCCCCATGGTGAACATGAGCAGAGTTCCCTCTTCATACCCTGGTGACCTGAAACCTATGTCATGGAACCAGCATCAGCTGGCACATCTGCAGCAAATGTGTGGAGAATCTGCAGTTCCCCCTGGAAAACACACTCAGAGAGAGATTGCTGCGCAGGGCTTTCCCGGCAAGCAGAACTACCCTCAAGAACTGTGCATGAGCCAGTCTTTTGGCCTGAAACCCCCCATTGATAAACCTACCCCTTCCCCTCCTGTGAATGGCTTGCCGGGTCCTCTGCCATATACTAATGGACATTATTTTCAGCCCCTATGGAATAACATTCTGCCTACTCCAAACAGCGACAGTTCTGGATCACAGGACCTCACCATGCCTTTCCATGGAGCACAGGCTGCTGGTGCACCCTTGGATTGTGCTGGTGGTACTCACTATAGAGCAGTTGGGGGCGGATCTTCCAGCCAGAATAACGTGATGCAGACCATGGATTACCTTTCTGGAGCGGACTTTCAGCAGTCCTGTTTTAGAGATCAGAGCATGGCCCCCCTTGGCAAGGTTCAGAGAACCCAAATGAGTAGAGCTCCTGAGCCAGCTGATAGTCGAAGTATTCATATTCAGCATCCAGGGTATAGGTAGGCTACAGTCAGACTGCAAATGAGAGGGTTTAGTCTTAAGTGATTAGCAAGGCTCTTGTATCCTCTTCAATTGCCAAACTTGTTGTGATCATTATATGCAATGCAAGCCAATTGGTGCTGCAATTCTTTAGGTTTAGTGTACTTTTTTTTTATTTTCTTTTTTTGTATCCCTTACAGTACTGTTGTCAGTGGTTGTGGAAACTGTGTTGCCTTCAATTTTTTTTTTATCTTCCTGACACTGAGGGGCTTCTATATGCTGCTTTGTTTTTATCTTGGGAACACTAAGCCCTAATTCGTGTTATGCCTTGTTCTCCCCCCCCCCCCCTTCCCCCATAACTCTTGCTTCAGGCAATACAGGTTGGAGAGGTCAATCTCCTCTTTAGCACTGTCAGGGAATTAGATACGCAGGATCCACAGATCCTAATATCGATGTACCTCTGTTCTGCAATCTACTGGTATCTTTGTGCCATTGAGGAAAAGTAACCTCATTGTATCCCATATTTGACTACTGTGCAGCCAAGAAATGCAATCGGAATGCACACAAATTTAGAGAAACCATTAAAATGTCATTGTTTTTAGCCGAAAAGAGTGTATTTCAACAGTGTTGTATATTAGGCACTTTTAAGCTAAGAACCCAAAGGTCCTTCTGGTTTACAATGATTTACAGACTTGCAGCCCCTGCTTGGTAGCTTTTATTCTGTGCACATCAGACACAATATCTTATCTCTATGTGCTGGTTTTCCATGTTGGCTTCTCACTGGAATCAGAGGCTACTGGTGTCCTGCCATGGAGAAGTAACAAGTGTAGGTGAAAACAAATGTCCTAACTGCCTAGGGTTAGCATATATGGACACTTGGTTCAAATGCTTATTTGAATGCATTTATGTTCACCAAAGGTTCAACAACTCTGCTGCTTGGATGGCTGTTTGAATGCTTCAGGGAACGAGCATTGTACCCCAGGTTGGGAAAAGGATAAAAGCAGACAGGCATTTGCTGCAATTGTGTACACCGCTTTCTATGTTTTCTCTTAGGGCTCGTTCACATCATGGTGTAGACATGTCCATTTTTTGCGCACTCGTTCTGCAAGGGCATAATCAATTTGCTATGTGCCCTGTTCACACCACAGCATGTGCAGATTTTTTCTGCGCAGGAATTTGCAATGTGTATAAAACTCATTGGAGCGCACATGGAAACTGATGTAAACAGATGTCTCTGCAAGTGAAATCTGCGCATCAGTTTCCATCAGTTTTTCTGAATGTATGGTGTGAACGAGGCCTTAGGGTTTAGTAAATTCTGGGTGTAGTATCAGCCAAGTTCTGTTCTTCCTGCATTTTGAAATGCGCACAGATATCTTTTGTGTATACAATTTTTTGTGTTAAGGACCTGGATAAGAAGTAAAGCAGTTTTTAGTACTTGAGTTTATCATCCGTTTTCTCACCTAGCTTTTATGGTGCCTTAAATTGACTTGCAACAAAACAGAACCGTTACACAGTGCGACAGTTTAGCTTCTAAATTTTAAAGACATAGGCATGTTAAATAGTAGTAGCTCTTAAAGTTTGTCGTATATAAAGGCAACCTAACTTTAGGTTGCCTATATATGCTTAATTATTACATGTTTATGATGTTACTAAATCAGTGGGTGGTACACTTTTGGATCAAGTACAAAGCCTACTATTTCAATTAAATGTCTCTCGTGTATAATAGAGACCAGCAGCATGACCTGTAGGTAAGTTGTACTTTGTCAGTCATCCACTGGCAGTATCTTTCTTTCTCCTCCTAGATTTCCCATTTATTTTACCTTGCAGAAAATACAGCTTGACACCGTTGGCATGTAGATTTGCTGCTTTAACATGTATATTTGCTTTAAAGATGGGATGATAGACACTAATCCTATTGGTAACAGATTATTTCGTAGCTGAAGCAGCCATTTTTGGCAGTCTAAAATGGCTCACCAGAGCAAATAAAATCACTCTGATTGGGCCATAAGCTGTAGAGAATGGTTGGATGTGCAGGCACAAGCTGACCGTCCTTAAGCACGGGTGGATGACATGCATGTGGACGACTGCAGTACCAGCTTAGTTATAGGGCACATTTACTAACTTTGCATAATTTCCCTGACATGTTCGGCAACTGTCTTTGGTACAGAGGCATCCTGAATGTCCAAGTTCATGACACTTTAAGAAATGCCTTTTTTTTTTTTTTTTTTTCCTTTTTTATTGGATCCAGGAGAAATGCACACCTGACAAGTTTAGATTACAAATCGGTTCATATCCTCTGCTTAGACCAGAGGAACATTTCAAATGCACACAACATTTTAATAATGTAAGTGTGGATACGTGTTGCTGCCACAATTGACATAAAGCTAAGAGCAATTTTACATTACATTCACCCACACTTAACCATCATTCCTTTATAGTCCTGCTTATCAAAAGAACTGAATTCCAAGATCTACCTGATCAAGTGAATTTGTGTATATGTCCAGTAGCATTTGAGAATTTCTACAAAATTGGGGGTATGTTTTATAAAGCTGTTAATGTGACTTTCACCAAACAATTACTGGCGGTTATTCAGTCCATGTTATTCAAAACATGTAGCAGGAACATTTACCTGCAGTGTATGGTTGGTGAATGTCAAATTTCAATGTTTTATTAATATACCCCCATTTAGTGACTGTAGTCCTAATAAACGGCTTAGTCTGAAAGGGCTCTCCTGAAGCTGGATATACACTATAAAAAATGCAGACTTTCATTAGAAATTTTTTGATTTAAAAAACATTTGTTCAATTTTCTGATCCTTAGTGGGGTCAGATCAGTGTTTTTTCAGTGTCGGTGACTAGAACATTTTGAAGGAGCAGGATGGAGAATTTTTCTTGTCAAAGGCAAACTAAATTTTTAATGGCATTTGTTAAGCCTTAAAGCGTACTAAGAGTTTTCATATGCATGTTTTACAAACATTCCTTTAAAAATCTACTAGTGTATACTCGGCTTTGTTGCAGTAACAAGTCTGATTTGTGTTTTTTTTTGTTTTTTATTTCCTTTCATTTTGAACAAAGTAGAAGGGCATTGAATCACTGACAGGGAAGAAATCCCTTCCGTTGCTGTCAGGAAATCTCTCCAATGGTGGCACAGACTGAAACAAAATGAAATTATGGAAGGGATTGAACTTGTGAAGTTATTACTGTCTGACTTCCTACTCGGTGATGACCGTTCTGCATTTCTTGTCTTGCTGTCATAGGATGGGAAATGGATGGAATTTTTTCAGGTTTAAAGGGATCGTTCATCATTGGGGAAAAAAAATTACTGTGCAGTCAAAGGGCCCCAGTAGTGTTAAAAAAAAAAAAAAAAAAAAAAAAAATGGAGGTTCGCTTACAGGACATACTGGTAGGCGAAGCCCTGCTTCCCCCAAAGCCTGGCCCCAAAACTACAGTCCTTCCCAATCTGCCCATCCCAGCAAATATGTTGTGATTTCTTTGCCTGTTTTAGATTCTGCCAACATCACAGGAACGAATGTTCTCCCTTGCAGCTATCATTTTGTCAGCCAGCGGGACAACTGGATGCAGCTGCTTTCCAGGCTACCATTTCTTACCTGGCTTCTTTGATTTTTCAGTCAAGGGATGTCAGGCAGGAGATGGCAGTCAGGACCACCCACTGAGAGAATTGTATCTAGTTCATCAGGTGCAGCCTAACATTTATACAGTGTATGGTCAGATTAACACGTTGAAGGGCATGAATGTGAGAAAGTCTGGGGGAGGAAATATTACCTACAACCCACCACATTCTGCCATGAAAATGTTGTGACTGAGTCGTTTGTCTTTTAAGCATTTACAGTATTCATTTTTTTTTTTTTTGTAGGAAAAGGACTGGGATGTAGGATGAAAACTTCAGAATTGAGCCTTTAACCCTTTGGGGTTTCAGAAGCTGGGGTTTAGTGTCATGTGACACGCAGTCACAGCTGTCACATGATCGGGAAAGGTCCTGATCGAAAGAGGAGATCGGGACCTTTCCTTGAGTACCGGACATGTGTGCTAGGAGCATGTGCTCTCAGCACTTTTTTTTTTTTTTTTTTTTTTTTCTTTTTTCAATAGAACACAAATATGTGGCCGCTTGTCGTCTAGGCCCAGACGCCGGGAGGCCGCACATTTGCGTTCGGCTGGGGTGAAGAGGTTAAAGTCTAAACTTCTCCATGTTTTTGTAATCCCACTAGTGAATTGACCCTTGTTGTAATATCACGAAGTGTCAATTTGACCCTTAAGTGTGCTTCAAAGTTCCAAATTGATAAAAGTATACAAAAGAGGGATCTGCAGACTACCACCATTGCTGTGCTCTCCTGAAAATTTGTGGCTCTAGAACATAGCATGACTGAGGTGTTCTGGTGTCATGTATGTTTTGGGTCCGTGACTTGAGTCAGTATTTTCAGAAAATCACACTGGTAGCTTACATATTTCAGTACGATTTTCCTTTTTATAGCTCTTAAAATAGCAAGTTGTGTACTTGCATGCAGATGGTCTAGATTTCCTTCTGTGTTTTTCTCTGTAGTTTTTTTTTTATTTTTTTTTTTGTTTTCTTTTATGAAATAAAACTTCAGCCTGCATGTTTGTAGCATAGTCACCTTTGTGATCACTAAAGAATGACATGAGAAACCGTTGCTGGTAAAATAGGACAGTGATCAATCTGGATTGCAGGTTGCTATAATCAGAAGTCACCAAAAGAAAAAGATTCCCACTTTTTTTTTTTTTTTCTCTTGAAGTTAAAGCAGTATTATAAAAGCAAACCTTTATTATATTGCAGCTTACCAATTCTTAGATGGCTGCATTAGTTTCCTTTTTTGGCTTGCTTTTTTATTTTCATCTGGTGTTTCAGCTAGCAAGTCTGCTGTGTTTCAGAAGCTCAAGCTTTCCAGCAGAATGTATTAGCCTGCATGAATGAGAGCAGTTATTTACCACTGGCAGGGGTGATTAAAATGATCAGTTTTTTTTAATTTGTGTAAAACCTTTTGTAATCAG